CTGTAAGCACGTGCGAAATTCATCACTCGCAAAGCACGGGCCTTGATCTGTCAGGATGGCTTGTGTTACACCATGGTTCGCCACAATATACTCCATCACAACTCTGTTTATTGTAGGGGCTTTTTGATCCGCGACTCCTACGGCTTCAATCCAGCGCGTGAAGTGTTCTGTCATTACAACGATGTATTGGTGTCCTCTAGGGGACATCGGCAATGGACCCATGAGGTCGATAGACCATAATTCACCGATCTCGGATACTGGTATTGACTGAATTGGGCATTGTGATGGGCGGTAGTCTGACGTGAACAGTTGGCATTTTTTACACGCCAGCACCTGGTTTGTCACATCAGCCTACATATTTCGCCAATATGCTCGCTGTCGAAGCAGATGGTAGGTTCGAGCGCATCCAGTGTGTGCTAGTTCATGACTTTCTTTGATAAGGATTTGGCGCTGCTGTTTCGGAATGACGACCACAGAGCACTTTTTCCTGGCTGTCGTTTCATTAAGATACCAGCGGTATTCAAATAAAGCTTCTTCCATAAGGATTGCCATGACTTCATGTGTGTACTATGTTGAATGTTTCGGTATTGCTTGCCTTGTGAGATTGCCTCGATCACTTCGCGGAGTTCTTGATCCTTTCGCTGTTCCTTCACCAATTCTTGCGGGTCTTGTCCCGCTGCCCGCATACTGACAGTGAAGGAATCTGCTTCCTTCTGACGAAACAAAATATCCGCAATACAGTTTTCGGTACCTGCAACATGATTGATCGTGAAGTCGTACTCCTGAAGGTGAAGCGCCCACCGGGCAAGTTTTTCTCTCGGGTCCTTGGCGGTTTTAATCCAATCCAGCGGCTTGTGTTCTGTTTCTATATGGAACCTTTGACCCAGAAGGTATGGTCGCCACTTATCTACGTCCCAAACTATAGCAAGACATTCTTTTCCCGTGGTGGAATATTTCTTTTTCGTTGGATTAAGGACTTTGCTTGCGTATTCTACCACTCCACTTGCTTGTTTGAGTACAGCTCCCACTCCCACGTCACTGGCATCCGCTACCACTGTGAAGTGCTCGCCAGTCACCGGCAAATTCAGTGTCAGGTGTTGTTTGGTCATGATCCTTTGGAGTTCATCGAAGGCTTTCTGGGCTTCTGGTGTCCATCTGAAGCGATATTCCTTTTTGAGTAAGGCGTATAACGGTTCGGCGATGTTCGTAAAGTTTTTAACGAACCGGCTACAGTATGCGACACAGCCCAGAAACCGTCTTAATGTTCTTTTCGATTGTGGGGCGTGCAAACTCCTTTAGCTTGAGGATTTTCTCAGGGAGTGGCTTCACTTCTCCTTTTCCAACCTTGTGTCCGAGTAAAGTCAATGTTGGCTTCCAAATTTGGGACTTTGATGCATTGATCCGAAGGCCAGATTCTTGGGTTCTTTTCAGAACATTTTCCAAGTGGGATGTGTGCGGTTTTTGTTTGACTGCGGAAAACAATATCGTCGCCATATACCTCCACTTTGGGGACACCTTCGAGTAACGTCAACATGAGGAAGCGGAATGTAAATGGTGCTCCTGATAATCCGAATGGCATTCGTTTGAACTGATATTGTTTATTTCCG